ACAATAATGCAAATGCAAATTAAAGCCACTTCAGACCACTCCTTGATCTGGGTGGTGGCTGCAGAGTATGTGCACTTTGTGGTGATTCACTAAGCTGAACACAGATGCCGTGTAAACTGTTCTGGATGTATACTTCATCAAAAATATTAAAAACAGGGGTGCCTGGCTGGCTCAGTCAGAAGAGCATGCAACTCTTGATCTCAGTTGGGGTCATGAGTTTGAGCCCCATGTTGGGTGTAGAGATTACTAAAAATAAACAAATAAACTTGGAAAAAGTTTAGAACAAAAAAAACTATTTTCCAACTTCCTTTTACATGAAGCTACTTGCAGGCTGATATCTTTCTGTATTTCAATTTTTGTTACAAAATTCTGCAAATACATGTGCACTTCCATACATAAACATTCCCCATCAACACTTCAAAAAATTTCTGAAATTGATGAAGGGAAGACATTTTTAGCCTACTTTTTAATAACAGATGCAAAATGCAAATCATTTGGCAAAAACCTAGATAAAGGAGCACCTGGTTGGGCCAGTCGGTAGAGCATCCAACTCATGATCTCAGGGTTGTGAGTTCAAGCCCCACATTGGGTGTAGAGATTACTTAATAAAAATAATAATAAAATTCCTGCACAGGCACAAGCCTGGAAGATGGCGGTGGCTGAAGCAGGCCATCTGAGGCGGCGGTGTTGGCCCTGCTGCTGCGGAGCCCATCCAGCAGGGCTCTATCACAAGAAGATTGTTGATCATCATGAAAATCCTAGAAATGTGGGGTCCCTTGACAAGACATCAAAAAATGTTGCAACTGGATCGGTGGGGGCTCCAGCATGTGGTGATGTAATGAAATTGCAGATTCAAGTGGATGAAAAGGGGAAGACTGTGGACTCCAGGTTTAAAACAATTGGCTGTGGGTCTGCTACTGCCTCCAGCTCATTAGCCACTGAATGAGTAGAGGAAGCCTTGACCATCAAGAACACGGACATCGCCAAGGAGCTCTATATACCCCACCACAACCCCCCCCACCCCCCCACCATGAAATTGCACTGCTCCATGCTGGCTGCAGATGCAATCAAGGCTACGCTGGCGCACCACAAACTGAAATAAGAAACCAAAAAAGGAGAGGCGGAGAAGAAATGAGCCCTCAGCGAAGCTTCCAGCCAGGTCATACCTGCTGTTTGTCCACCCGCTGCGCAATCACTATAGATGTTCAGAGGCCCCCCACACTACAGTAAAGGAGCTCTGAGACACACACAGCATTTGCTGGTCACGTGGTGGCTCACATGCAAGCAAATTACACACTTTACTCATTCCAAGTCCTGTGCTTTCTTTCAGCCCACTCTTATTGCCTTAACCCAGTTTGTGTATATTTTGAATCGTGTGCATGGCTTCAAAACTGAAATCAGTCACAAAGTCTCAAGTCTCAAGCAGTAGTCCAGGAAGTGTGCAAACATCTAATTTCACCTGAATCTATCTTGGGGAAGACTACCAGAAGGCCATGGTATGATTATTTGATAGAACTAATTATTGTACATAAAACAGATTTGCATATAAAATAAAAGAATGTAAGACCAAAAATAAAATTAAAATTAAAAAATTTTTAAAAGAATGTTTAAAAAAAAACCTTCTAGATACAAATGATGAAATAATACAACCAACGTATCCATGCTTCTCAAGGTAAAGTCCAAGTTTCATGGTCTGCACCATCAACTCAAAATTTAAGGTTAGTTTTAAAACTTGACTTTCAAGTTTCGGGGATGGATTATTCAATCATATAGTTAACTAATTTTCATACTGAAAAGGCATGATCACAAATAATCATTAAGAGTCATCAATTATTTAAATAGATTCTAACTGCTATTTACCAATTCTCATCTATTAACTTTTAGAAAAAAGTATCCTTTTTGAATATTCTTTTGAATGAAAAAGTGTATTGCTGCTACAAGGATTAACCAGGAACATCTAAGCACTGTGTGAAACCTGCAAAGTGCAGGCATATAGGAGACCATCCCTAGGTGGCAAATAATCCTCTCTGCTCACTGTGACAAAGAATTAGCCAAACAAAGGCCCCAAACCAGATGTCACAGCTACTCACAAGAATGGGAACAATTTCCTCAAAACTCACTGAACAGCAGTAATGCTGTATTTTATATTTACAAAAACTCCAATCAGCAATGAGGTGCTCTTGTCAAAAAGGTCCTTTCTCCTACACCTCAACTAGATCTAGCCTCAAACAATATTTGAAATGAAAGAGGTAAAGAAATGTATATCCCCATGCCCGCCACTATAAGAAAAGTGCTGAATACTGCTCAGTGACAGAGACACACATGTGGGTGTCCACATGAATGGGTGAGTACGTGTACGTGGTGTGTATATGACTAAAAGCCAAAGGCTTCATTCATCTGCTTAGTCATCAATGCTCCACCACAGTTAACAGGAATTCAAGTTGTGGGAAGTGTCCAAATGCTAGAGAAAGCACAGTGAAATATGAAAACTTAGGAAAATAAGTTTGTGGGGTGTCCAAGCCCTTTTGATCTTTTCAATTTTTCTGCTCATTTTCACTATTTTTTTTTTTTTTTTAAGATTTTATTTACTTGACAGAGAGAGACACAGCGAGAAAGGGAACACAAGCAGGGGGAGTGGGAGAGGGAGAAGCAGGCTTCCCGCTGAGCAGGGCGCCCGACGCGGGGCTCGATCCCAGGACCCCGGGATCATGACCCGAGCTGAAGGCAGACGCCTAACGAATGAGCCACCCAGGCGCCCCACTATGTTCTTCTTTCCTTCTTTGTCTTTTCACTTCAATTTCTATTCAGTGACTTTTTTCTCCTTTCTTAAGTAAAAGCAATTGCTTCAGGCTAAAGTGGTCCCAAACAGTTTCGCCTCTTCTACGACCCTCCTCACTACACACAGACACGCCACCCCCTACTTACGTGAGCTGACCAAGGACAGCCAAAGCTATGGGCAGTGGCGTGCGCTGGCACAAAGCAGGTACACAGCTGTTTTGCTTTACAATGAAAAAGTACTCACTATTCAAAACCAAACTACCATCAGCTCCAGATACAGGCCTCAGAAGATGTGACATGCCTGTTCAGGGCACACTTCACAGGAAACCTTCAAAGACCCTGCCTGCCACTGATGAGGAAGCAACAGAAGAAAAGCAATAGAACACATCCACTGCCAGTGTTTCAACCTGTTCTTCCAGTCACATAAATAACAGGTCACCCAGTCACACAGGCACTCTGCTCTGAAGACACCCCCAGCAAGTGAGTAACCAGTTAGGTCAGAAAATGACAGCTATCTTACACAAGACTGGCAGCACTGCCATCAAGGAAGTAATTCAGGGTGTTGATTCAGACTAACGGAAGTAGGGCAAAGGTATATTCCTGGTACCATTCTCTGGGCCATAGGATGACACCCAGCAGCTCATCAAAACTGTAGCAAGGAGAAAATCTGGGGGCACCTCCAAGCCTGTGGAGTAAGTCTGGGTTTAGTTTTGATAACCCTGGAATAGAAAACCCAGCATTTCCAGCTAGATCCTTCAACACATAAGGATGTCCCTCATTAGCTGTTCCATGAGGTGCTTCTTAAAAAAATTAAGCCACAATAGATTGTGGCTTTGATAGATCAAAGCCCTGCCTGGACAAAAGGCTTTTGAATGGATTGTGTTTCAAACAGTGCTTAGTTTCTCTCCATGAGACTAGCACTGACCCTCTCCAGGTTTTCCCCACCGAGTCAGTTTCTACTCGAAACACAAAATTCCCAAGACAAACAAGCAAAGAACAAATATGTGGATTCTGCACTAAGAAAGACTAGAAGACTGTATGGATCTCTGTGCAATGTACCTAAGATCTGACCGGCAGAAAAATGGCCCGGAGTCATCTTGTCCCTTGGGTGGTCCAAAACAACACAGACACTGAGAGCCCCCCACAGAAAAAGACTATTCTTTTCAGGAATCAGTCCTGAGCCAGTAAAAGTTTCTAGAGATAATCAATAAAAATGCTACTACCTGGGGCGCCTGGGTGGCTCAGTCAGTTAAACGTCTGCCTTCGGCTCAAGTCATAATCCCACGGTCCCGGGACTGAGCCCCAAGTTGGGCTCCCTGCTCCGCAGGAAGTCTGCTTCTCCCTCTCCCTCTGCCCCTCCCTACTGCTTGTGTGCTCTCTTTCAAATAAGTAAAATCTTAAAAAAAAAAAAAAAAAATGCTACTACCTATCATTTATGAAGCCCTTGCCATGTGCCAGACTCTGTGCTACCCACTTCCATACATTCCTCATTTCATCCTGAATCATGGTACTGTGAAGCACATGCAAACAAAGCCAGGGGCTGTCTGCTTCTGAAGCCCACAGTCACCATCCTGTACTAACAAGAACTAAACCAGCCTCGAAAAGAGCGTAAAGAAAACTATTTATGCTCCAATTAATATCGCCCAATTTTAACAGGATTAATACGGGATCAGTTGTCAGAAAAAGAAGAGCAGTTTATGGTGTGCAAGGAGGTGGGGTGGGATTAAAAATACCCTCCCTAGGGGTTTCAGGAATGTTACTGCTGGTCATCCTTTAAGACCTACCACACATGCTCTTTCGCAAAACCTTCCCAGGCTAGCAACAATGTTTTCCTGAAATGCCTATGCTGTCCTCCTACTCCCCCAGGGAATCGGACTTTTTTGCCATGTATTTTAGCTATGCATGTATGTGACAACCTCCACCCATTACACCACAAGCTCCCTGAAGAAAAGACTCTAACTCCAGCTCACACTGGCACAAGAGCCTTGCACAAGGCAAGTGCTCAATGACATGTTTCATAAACAAGCCTACTATTTGGTTTCATTTGTAAAGCCAGACCAAACACACCAAGTCTACCACACTGTGAACTCTCCAAAGGCTATGTGTTCTCAGCACCAGCAGAGGGCGAGTCCTAAACAATGTTTATTTAATAAATCAAACATCATACTAACATTCGCTCCTTCTAAAATCCATCACATATTCAAACATTGCCACATTAATACCTTTGACAACGATGCTGCTGTTCCAGGTTTTACGAGTTTGCCTCCTGTAGATGCTGAAGAGCTGTTTTCAGGTTTCGTTTTTTCTACTGTTTGCGTTTTGCTTATCCCAGACACTTTAGGCACTGAGCCAACACTCCTGCTTGCTTTCTTCATTCTGGGTTGCCTCTTCGTGATGCATTTACAAGCAAATCTGTGGAAAGAAACAGCATTATACTAAGAACACAACTGGAAGAAAGCTCTTTAGAAATTTGTTTCTGAAAAATTTTACCATGCAATAAATAAAAATGTTTGAAAGCGGGGCGCCTGGGTGGCTCAGTCCTTAAGTGTCTGCCTTCGGCTCAGGTCATGATTGGGAAGCAAGAAGCCTGTTTCTCCCTCTCCCACTCCCCCTGCTTGTGTTCCCTCTCTCGCTGTGTCTCTCTCTCTCTCTGTCAAATAAATAAATAAATAAAATCTTTAAAAAAATGTTTGAAAACTAGATATTGATACAGAAAATAAAAAGTTGAAAAGCTCTTAGACTTGCTAATCAGAATGCACCCCACGTTTAAGGCTTCCTCCTTGAATATTACTAACTTGAAACTATTTCTAGTTCAGTCATTAAAAGGAATACCCTAGGGGTGCCGGGGTGGCTTAGACAGTTTAGGGTCTGACTCCTGATTTTGGCTCAGGTCATGATCTCAGGGTCCTGAGACTGAGCCCACATCCAGCTCCATGCTGAGCCTGGAGCCTGCTTAAGATTTCTCTCTCCCTCTGCCTCTACACCGTGCCACCTGCAGGACCACATGCACGAACTCTCTAAGAAAAAAAAAAAAAAGGGATATCGTAGATCTCTAATGGAACTGGCTAAATACAACACAGCATACATTATCCTTAGCAATTAATGAAGCAATAATCACCCTGGCATTTGAGAATTAGCCATTTTGCAGGTATTTAAGTTAAGGGTGAGCGTATTTTCCAAATTATCTGGCACAGTCCTAATTTCAAGTATCTGCTGTGATAACCTCCCATAAGCCAGGAGAACATCCCAGAAACTCCAACATTTAGGCTCTAAATATAGTTCCCAGCATATCTCTTTTATCAAGAGGCAGCATCAAAATTCCTTATCAGAACGTAAACCTCAGGGGCACCTAGGTAGCCCAGTCAGTTGGGTGCCTGCCTTCGGCTCAGGTCATTAACCCAGAGTCCTAGGATGAAGCCCCGCATCAGGCTCCCTGCTCAGTGGGGAGTCTGCTTCTCCCTCTCCCTCAGCCCCTCACCCTGCTCATGCTCTCTCGTGCGCTCTCTCTCAAATAAATAAAATTTTTAAAAAAAAGGACATAAACCTCAATTTTTTGGTTCGGAAAACAGGACCATCTACGTACCTATAAGGAATGTGACAAGTCTACCACCTAAACAGCTCATGCTTGATTTCATAGCTTAGACGACTTGAAATAACACTGGCAGCGCACAAAACTGCACCCAAATAAACGCTTAAATATGTCTTTATTAACTAAACTAGAAAAGCAATCCCTACAGTAAGTAATATCAGGTTTGGAAAGATGTCATGGACCAGGCTGGCTTTCACAAAAATGAAAGTCTATTTGAATAGAAGCAGTTTTATGTATGATGACTCTGAGAAACTACTATGACCACAAAAAGAGGCTGTTCTATTCTGTGAAGATTTCTACACACTAATAAAAGTAAACTCACAGAATAACCTTTTGGAAAAGAAAAGGCTTGTCCCAATAGCCTTAAGGAGTACTTTACCTACAGTGAGGTCAAACACTCCAGATTTATCTTGCCTTGACATAAGACAAACTGTACCAACAGGTTTGGTGGCAGGAACAGTGAGACAGGGCAAAGGGGGCTCTGCTCCTCCCCTCAACATGATAAGGCCCTTGAGCAAAAAGAACGCTGTTATTAACAGCAACCAAGACACAGCGAAACCTCAGCAGCAAGTCTATGCTTTTCTCACCTACAAAATGAAGGAATGACACTGGATCCATCGCTAACTCAAAGTACTGTGGAAAAATCAAGCTCCTAAGAAACTTTCCTTCAACTTTTCACTTCCCCTTTTTATTTACCTGCTCTTTTCTAAGTCTCATATCTTATAGATGGTTCCCTGAAGTTTCTTTCTTCTCTTCTCCAAATTCCACAACCACATTCCTTTCTACACCACTCAGACCCTCTACCATTCTCTGCCTACTCATCCAGCTCCTGCCAAATTAAATTTTCCTAACAGAACTTACTGCAATAACCCAATAGAACTTACTGCAACAATAAAAATGTTTTCTGTATATCTGTGCTGTCCAATACAGCAAACACTAGCACTTGTGGCTACTGAGCACCTAAAATGTGGCTGGTGTGACTAGAGAACTGCATTTTTAATTTTATTTAATTTTAACCAATTTAAACTTAAAGGTACATGGTAGCTACCATACTGGACAATGCAACAGACTGTCCCTTTCTGCTGCTACCACTTCAAACCTAATGAATTACCACTTTCCATCCACTAGGATGGCTATAACCAAAAAGATAAGAGGGGTGCCTGGCTGGTTCAGTCGGTGGAGCATTCAACTCTTGATTTTGGGATTGTAAATTCAAGTTCCACATTGGGTGTAGAGATTACTTTTTTAAAAAAATCTAAAAAAAAACAAAATAGATGGTGACAAATGTTGTAAAGGATGTGCGGTAACTAAAACCCTCACATGCAGCAGGAAGGAATATAAAATTGTGCAGCCGCTTTGGAAAACAGTCTAGCAGTTCCTCAAATGCTTAAACACAGAGTTACCATATGATCCAGCAAGTCTACTCCTGGATTTATACCCAAGAGAAATGAAAACATTTGTCCACAAATTTATATACAAATATCAACAGACACACTATTCATAATAGCCACAAACTGGAAACAACCCAAACAACCTCAAAAAATTCTCCCAAATTAAACCGTAACAGAATTCTTTGTTAATATTTAAATTTTTACTTATCAACATGTATTTGTTATTTACTGGATACACATTACTATCACATAGTTCTGTTTATATGCCTTCTGCATACAAAATACTTTTTCTTTCAATTCCAAATGTCTATCAACTGATGAATGGATAAACAAATGTGGTATATCCATCCGACGGAATATTATTTGGGCATAAAAAAGAAATGAACTACCAATACATAGTACAACCCTGAAAACATTATACCAGATAAAAGACACCAGACACAAAGAATCGTGTACTGTATGATTCCACTTATACAAATTGTCCAGAATAGGCAAATTCATAGAGACAAAAGTAAATTAGAGGTTGTCAGAGGTTAGGGCAGCAGGAATGGATACTGACTGCTAATGGATACAGGGTTTCTTTTTTGGGATGAAACATTTTTAGAATTAGATTGCGACAATGGTTGTGAATACACTGAAAACCACTGAATTTTACACTTTAAAATGGGTGAATTGTGCGGCACATGAATTATATCTCAATAAAGTGGTTATAAAAAAAACACCTGGGGAGCCTAGCTGGCTCAGTTGGAAGAGCATGCGACTCTTGATGTGAGTTCGAGCCCCAAGCTGGGTGTACAGATTACTTAAAAATAAAATCTTAAAGGGGAGCCTGGGTGGCTCAGTCGTTGAGCATCTGCCTTCGGCTCAGGTCATGATCCCAGGGTCCTGGGATCGAGCCCCGCATCGGGCTCCCTGCTTGGCGGGAAGCCTGCTTCTCCCTCTCCCACTCCCCCTGCTTGGGTTCCCTCTCTCGCTGTGTCTCTCTCTGTCAAATACATAAATAGAATCTTTGAAAATAAATAAATAAAATCTTAAAAAAAAAAAACCTAATGAACATCAAACAAGGACTTCTAGAAAGTAGATCCGAACATTATAAAATACCCAATAAGATAAAGAGAAGGACTACAGTTTTGCAGAGATCAGAGAGAAGACGAGCAGCATAGCCAAAAGCTTTAAAAATGCTGAGATACACACTGGTCCAAGACAGTGGCAGCTTGAAATCTTAGATCTTAGACCACTCATTCTCACCCACATTGGACCCAAAGCTCCCTTTCTCCAACAAATATGTAAATACACCTTTACTACTGAAGTGGAATCCAAAGCTAACTTATTTATTATATACACACTGGTACTTTCTAAAAATATCTACATAATATGGCAACTAAAACATAAAAAATAAAATAACTTGTAATAAATGTGAATTTCAATATGTGAATTTTCAAGCAAGATTATATGAGGAATAATCCACACCTCTAAGTTAAATCACTGTGAATTTGACTACAAGAGTCTTGACTTGGGCAGTTTGTAGTACTGAAACTCAGGTACCATGCCATCTATCATGCATGCTATCAACAATGTGATTTTCTAGGGGCGCCTGGGTGGCTCAGTCGTTAAGCGTCTGCCTTCGGCTCAGGTCATGGTCCCAGGGTCCTGGAATCGAGCCCCGCATCGGGCTCCCTGCTCCGCGGGAAGCCTGCTTCTCCCTCTCCCACTCCCCCTGCTTGTGTTCCCTCTCTCGCTGTGTCTCTGTCAAATAAATAAATACAATCTTTAAAAAAAAAAAATGTGATTTTCTAAAAGGATGAATCACTCTTAGTGTGATGGTTAATTTTATATGCCAACTTGACTGAGCCATGGAGTGCACAGACATTTGGCTAAATTATTCTGGGTGTGAGGATGTTTCTTTTTCTTTTCTTTTCCTTTTTTTTTTTTTTGAATAAGATCTGGTTTGGTTTGGTTTTGTTTTTAGGTTTTTTTCGTGAGGATATTTCTGAATGAGATTAACATTTGAATTTACAGAGATTCCTGACTCCTTGAGTTGGGATGTCAGTCTTTTCCCATCTTTGGACTCCACTTGAAAAATTGGCTCTTCTTTGGTCTCAATCCCACCAACTTTCAGACTTGAATTTACAAGTGATTCTCAGGCCATCAGACTCAGACTGGAACTTACACTGTTGGCTCTCCTGGGTCTCACGCTTGCCGAATGCAGATCCTGGTCCTTCTCAGCTTCCATTATCATGTAAGCCAACTCCTTATAATAAATGTGTGTGTGTGTGTCTGTGTCTGTGTGTGTCTGTGTGTGTGTGTGTGTGTGTGTGTGTGTGTCTCTCTCTCTCTCTCTCTCTAGATCCTACTGGTCTGTTCCTCTGGAGAACCCTGACTAATACACTTGGTAAAGCTGAAAACAAAACAATTTCTCCTCAATGTCTACA